AGTTGTCTTGACCAAGCTATTGCTTTGACTGCAGTGGAAACTGGTCTAGGTGTTATAAAGTGTCTTGTAGGGTTGTATTTAGGTTGAAAACTGAACCAAATGGCAATTATTTTGTGCAGGTTTGCAAGATGACAAAATTTGTGCAGTTTTTTTTTTGTGTGTGTGTTCTTAGTGCTTTTCAGAGAGGAAAATTGAATTATCATGCTGAAGTTGACAGTCTAATAAGGTTTTAGCATTTAACTGCAAGAGTTAAGTACTTGCAGTTTGAATGCTTATCAGGGTGTAGGTTTTTTTTGTTTTTTTTTTGGAACAATACATTTTTATTAAATATATCCGTAACAGATGACGGGCATCATAAAATGTAACAACATGATAGGATCAGTATTCAGGCAGATATAATAAAAGCTACACAACATCCAAAGCATACACGTCATGTGGAAAAGAGATACCCATAAAAGTGCAAGACATGTATCGCAAGTGCATATGAACATATAAAATAGTGGTACGTTAGGTAGGTATGGGCCATCTGTGCAGGCCATTTTAAATCCGCAACCATATATTCAGAACCAAAAGAAAGAGAAGAATTAAAGAAGAAAAAAAGAATATCAGTCAGTTCAGGTCTGTGTGACCGATGAGAGAAAGGTCAGGATAGTGAAAACAGTGGGGTTAAACTCCTACGGCTTAGGCACATAATAGGTCAACCAGGTTTTCCATAGGTAGTGAAACCTGCCTTGGGATTGGAGTCTATAAGAAATTGCTTTCTCATATTCGCATTGGGAGTTCACCCTTGACAGTATTTCAGTCAGTGTAGGCACAATTATCGGCTTCCAGTACCCTGCAATCAGCAGTCTAGCTGCAAATTGAAAATGCATCACCACCGTCCTAAACTCTAAAGGATATATTTCAATTCCCACACTTAGAAGTGCAAGTTGAGGGGTCAGAGTGTTAAAGGAGAACTATGAGGTGAGTGCTTTTCACTCACCTCATAGTTCTAGCCGACCTGTGACAATGAAACGGTCTCAGGTCGGCTCAGTAGATCGGGAGGTGAGCGAACACATACCGGCTCTCTGCCGTGACAGGAGAGGGGCTGGATTCCCCCCTCCCCAGCTGTCAGTCATGCAGCTGGGCGGATCCATAATTGTCGGGATCCGCTGCAGCATTTACCGTGAGCAGCAGCTCGCGGTATACTGCGGCGTCACAGTATACCGCGAGCTACAGCTCGCGGTATACTGAGCCTAGGGTGTCGGGAGGACGCTAGTTTGTGTCCTCCCGTTACCCTAAGGAGAACTATGGGGAAAAGCCTTAACCCTATAGTTCTCCTTTTTAAGGATACCCATAATTGTTGCTAAGCACCTAAAGATTACGTTATCAAGGTATAAGTTTATAATAGTGGGGCGCACTCCTTCCTCGAACCACTTGACTAGTTTGGTGTAGTGGTAATGAATGGCATTGATGAGTGGTGGGGTGTTATTTTTTATTTTATTTTTTGTGCTAGAAAAATTTTATATAATGTGCATGCAATTCCTAAAAGCTCATGTTTGAACAGTGGCATGGCTGCAGTTGTGATTTTTATCATTTAGATTTTAGTTGTATTTTGATTAGTTCAATTTGCAGACTTTTCAGATTAGGTCTGTTCTGTTTCAATTTCTGAACGGAATACTCAACATAATTATTCACATGCCATTGTAGATATTACACTTTAAAAGTGATCTGTACTTTGTCTCTTAGATTGTATTAAGCTGAGAGAGTGGTTTTACTCACTACATTACATCACTTATCCTTAGCATTCTCTGCAGATCAGACTTTCTTTTTTTTTTTTCTTCCCAGGGTTTGCTATACATCCACTGCTCACTGCTGATCAGATACTTGCCACATGAAGCTGCAGCAGCTAGCATTCCCTACAAGGGCATGTGTACGAAGATTGTTTATCGTAACAGCCTGGAAGCCTAACATCTGCTACGTGCAGGCATAAGTTGCGATTTAAGATATGCAGAAGCCAGTATAATAAAGCATATCTAAATCCAAAAGTAATATATTGCGTCAGTTGATAACCTCCTATGGCTTCCAATATAATCTATGCTAACGTCACCCAAATCTATCTCTCCACTCCTCAGCACCCCTCTTCTGTCTCCTAACACAACATGGATGTCACACCACTTCCTCAAACTCAACCTGTCCAAAACTGAGCTTATAATATTTCCTTCTGTGTCCCCATCCCTCAATTCTCCATTCAATCAACACCTTCCCTCACGCAAGGGTGCTTGATGTAATCCAATTCTGAGCTCTCCTTTCAGCCCCCACAGCCAGTCACTATCACAATCTTGCCGACTCAACCGCCGCAACATTTTAAAAAGTCAACCTTTTTTTTTTTTTCATAAAAAAAAAAAAAAGTGTTCACTCTTATCTCTGTCTATTGTAACTCCCTCCTTGTCTTACCACTACACAGGCTATCCTCCCTTCAGAATATCATGAATGCTGCTGCCACACATCAACCTTACTAACTGCTCTGTGGCCGCTCCTCACTGCCAATCTCTTCAGTGACTCCAACTTGCCAAATGAATAACATTCAAAATACTAACAAATACAAGCCCATCTACAACTCTGCCCCAAAATAAATCACCAACCTCTCAAAATATCAACCAAACCATCCTCTCCGCTCCTGAAGACTTCCTGCTCTTTAGTTACCTTGTCACCACCTCCCATGCCTGACTCCTGGACTACTACTCCAGAGCCTCTCTCATCCTTTGGAATGTCCTATCCCCAATATGTCTGCTTATCTCCTTCTCTGTCCACCTTTTAGGCACCTTTCCTTGAAAGCTTATCACTTCAGGAAGCCTATCCCACCTCAACATAACTATACTTTTACTTCTTCCACAATCTCATCCCACACAATTACCTTTTGTATCTTTTGTAATTTCGCCAGCCGAACATATTGTCCGAAAATTGCGCTTTTGGCAAAATGCAGAAAGTGCCATCTTTCGGCCGAAATTGCGGTAAGAGAAACTCTCAGGAGGCAGAGCATTGTGGGGGGAGGAGAGCGATGTGAGTGGCCAGCGTGTCACAGGGGGCTGAGCTCTCCTCCCGGAGACAGCTGTCACGAGGCCAGGCCGGTGGTGTGAGGAAGGAGTCAGCTGTCACTGGAGACAGTTCTCCTAGCACCGCTCACTCCTGTGACAGCAAGCCAGGATGGAGAGCGGGTACATGCACTCAGCAATCAGTGAAAAAATAAAAAGTATATTAAAACCTTTTTTTTTTTAATGTGAAAAGGTTAGGCTAAAACAATTTTCAGTTTCGGCAGCACGATCTGTCACACAAGACAGAAATCAGACCGTTAAGAGGTGGAAAAACTGAGTTTTAATCATCTATATACTATATAGTTCTTGTTACTGGATTCCTCCAAGGATAAACTCGAATTGGATTTGAGAATACTAAAATGCCTTTGCATCCTTTTATATATGTCCTATGAGTGTAAAATATTGTAAATGTAATATGTGTATGTAACTGTGGCATTGGCTCTGTAGTTGTACATTTTGTATTGGTTTCATACGGGTGGTTTTTTTTTTCTTCATGGCTGATTGTATTAAAGACTTTTTTTTTTTTTCTTCTTAAAACATGTTTTGGATTGGTTCGTCTACTTGTTTTTAATGACTAATTTATGTGTTATAAAAGAGGGCATACTTCTGAACACTACTGCTGTTACTGTTTATTCAAGCTATTTTACTGTTTACTGCTGATAAACATCAGGATAAACCTAGCCCTTGCCAGACAGACACCTGACTCTTGTTTTGTTCACTTATTTATCATTTGCTCGAAATGGCAGGTATAAAGTAGCAAGCTTAATTTTTTAGCGCTTTGAAATAGCAGATACTTTTCAAAAGCATTATTGTGTTGTAGTCATACTCAAATGGCACACATTCTAAAATGTTAGTTAAGACCACAAAACCTTATATATTTTCTTAACGCACAGATCCTGTAGGACAGTGATTCTCAACCTGCGTAACCTCAAGACCCACATTTGTCCTTGGTCATTAAGTTGCGACCCAAGTCGCACTGCAATGGAACTCGCGGCATTAGGTTACCACACGGTCCGGTGCGGGTGTACGAACTGGGTGGGAGGTGCATTTGGGGTAACATTCAAATGAATGGCAACACAACGCATCTCCCACACCAGAATGCACGGTAGGTGTTGTGTGGTACAGTGCGTTAATGCACTGTACTAGTATGCATACATAACCTCAGACATTCTCACACATATACACACTCCAGAAAATGTTTAATTTTGTTTTAAGGTCCACCCAGTCTCCCTACCTTACAAGAACTCGAGTGGATCCTCAGCCTGGGGGTCCAGTGTGGGCTGCTGTACTGTGACTGAGCTCTATTCAAATGTACATGTACAATTCCCTTGCGTGCCCTGTAGAGGTGCCGGGAGCCAGAATGTGATGTCACTCCGATCCAGGCACCTCTACAGGACACGTGATGGAGCTCCCTCATGGCCATAGCCCTATCCCATCCCACCTCAAGCTGATACTCGGCACCGGGCAGCATATTTTGAATAGCTGCTTGGCATGAGAACGGACAGTGCTGTGCTAGGGGGAGGCAGAGGAGCCTCTCGCCTAGAAAAGTGAAAGGCATGTGGCGACCCACTTTTGGGTCACGACCCACCAGTTGAGAATCAAGGGTCTAGAGTCAGGGTCTTTGTTTTACATTTGACATCAGCTGAGTAATACATGTAACCTCTAGTGTAAGGAAAGGAGGAGTGATTGTTTCCCTTAGCAACAAATGTTGATTCCTGTACAAGCCTGTAAGTGTGCTGTTTTTACCATTATTTCCTTAGCAGTCATTCCAAGATACCTTAAGCAGCAGATCAGAGGTGAATTAAATGCCAGTATGGGGAGCTAAAGCATTGTATTTTTTTTGCCAGTTTTGTTTGAGCAGAAAAGATTACTACAGCTGACATTTGTTAAGTTTTTTTAACATCTACTTTTTTATTTTCCCAGGTATCTGAAAGAGCACTTTGAAAAATGGGTCTATATGTACGCACCATAACACCCTATGCCCTCCCTGGAGTGCTGGCACTCCTTGCTTGCTGGTGGTTCTTCTCCCGAAAGAAAGACAGACGCAGTACAAAACCTGATCATATATCTGCTTGTGTGAATGAGATGGAAACAGTCGATGCCCTGGAAGAAATTCTTAGAGAAGAAGTACACAACAGTTCCAGGGCACAACTGCTGGACAAAGAGGATGAAATTGTATTACAAGAAGACTGCAAGTGCTCCTTGCCTTTGGCTGCACGGGAATCTTCTTTGTACTCAATGCAGTCTAACTGCTGGGTTGATGATGACTTGGTAAAAGAGTCCCATTTAAAAAAAGTGGGCACCTTACAAGGATTTGCTGATCAGGAAGTTGATGAAATTAAAAGCCCTGATGGTTTCAGGGCAAATGAAGCAGCTGAAGTCCAGGAAGTAGTAGGGGTTTCCCCATATTCAGTTAGTCAGACACTTGATGGAAATAAAGTTGTCAAACATAATTCTGCCACTTTAAATGATGTAGAAAAATTGTGCACGATATCCACTGAGCCACCTTGTGGATGTAGTCAGGCAGGTGATATTCAGGAGTTTCCCCTCAAAGAAATTGATCTGAAGATCAGTTTCATCCATGATTCTGATTTGCTACAAGTATTCTCTCAGACTGAAGCTCTTGATATGCCTGAAAAAAAATTACCTGTTGAAGATGTTAATGAAATAAAAGCAGAAGATACAATGTTGCCTTCACCACAGGCAAATTCTGTAGAGAGAGGTTTAGTATCCAAAGAAGTAGAACGAAATTCTTCAGAATTTAGACTACCCGCATGTCATGTTCAAACCTGGAAAGTCCCCTGTGATCCTTTTATTGAGCAGAACGATGAAGCCTATGATCTTGGGTCAGCAAAACCATGCTCCCACAGGGAGGGTGTTGAAATTACACAGTCTGCTAAAACCAGTACAGTGTTTTTCAAAGAACTAGATGTACAGCCCTCTGTGGCTGAAATGCTGGTAGACTATTCAGGGAGCCATGTAGTACAGAGCTGTCAGCCCATAGAAGATGAAATAGGATTAGCATTCAAAGGTGATGTCAAACCTTTTGAAACTCAGTGTTCAGAAAGTATTCTGTCAGAGCAAGTAACGCATGATAATGCTTTGGACTTAACTACCCAGTCACATCTGAAAGCGGTTGACTCTGTAATAGCTTGTGAGCCCTCTGAAAGTTGTGTTCAATCCTTCATCACTGAAGTGGTCAGAGAGGGTAACTGTACGACTTTACTTGATACTTTTTCCAAATGTCTGGAAAAAAAAGAAGAAACCGAAGATTTGTGTCCAGTAGTTGATGATTTAAAAGAAGCAAATCCACAAAGCTTTTTGGGAGACTATGAGGCTAAGATAGTTGAACAACTTGCCATGGACCTAATTTCCAAAGTGATTGTAGCTGCTAGACAGGAAATTTTGTCTAGTTCAGTTAGTGACGTGTCTGATAGCCGTTGTCAAATTCTTGATGAAAATAGAGATGTTCTAACGAGAGATGCACAGAGCAAGCCGCTGGTTCCAGGGAGTGATGAGGATTCTGTTTCTGCAAACTTTACATTTGGTGTAAAAGATTTTGACTGTACTTGTGAATCTACACAATTTGAACTATCACAAAATGAGAACTTTAGAAATACAGGACTGACCGTTGATGAATTCTGTCTAGAGCACCAAAGGGAAGAAAAACATACGACACCCAGTACATCTGTTTGTCGGATGCCATCGGTGTCTGACTTTAGTCCAGTTCAAAGAACAGATTTTTTTGAGGAGTCTCAACCTGCCCTTGAGGATTCCAGTCTTAGCGTCTGCACATCAGAAGAATGCCTCAACATGGACGATCCAATGCAAAGCACAGTGTTATCAACTGTTAGTATTGGTGGCTACGACTCGCTGAGTTCCTCTGGGATTGGGCTATCGAGGGAAACATTTAATGTGTCCATTGAGAAAACAATGAAGGCTACATGTGGGGAAAATGACAAGGAGCTCTACTGTAATGGAGACATAAAGCGAGGTTCTCCAGACTTAAACCATGATGGACCCTTGACTACCGAGTCAGAGGTAGATCACTCAGGAGGTGAGATTTGTTCATCACCAGTCCCTAATTTCATTAATTTGTGGAAATGTGTTTTTAAATCTTTAGTGGTAATGATTATAGCTCTGTGCCATCTAGCATTCAGTCAATGCTAAATGTAAGTGTGGCCATAAGCTAAAATTTAGTATAGGCTTATCCTATTATTTACTACTATTGCCAGTGCTCATGCAGATGGATAGTTTCCCTATTTATAAAAAATGCTTTAACAGGTGAAAACTGTTCATAACTAGTTCTAGTGTACCAGCTGTTTGCATGTCACCCTGAGAGGATCTGTGCTGAAAGCAAGGCTGCAACTCCTGTTGCTGACCTGCTAAAAATGCTAGTTGTCTTTTCAGTCATGATTGTCCATTACTTTTTTGAGTAACTAGAAACACGAATGTTGCCAGTAAAGTCGGAACTCCTCATCTGTATGCATGTCGTGGGTCTGTGATTTAGGAGATTGAAGCCTTTTGATCAGTATGATGGCTAGGCAGATGAGATAGTTATAGGTCAGCAATGGCAGTTTCTATATTTCTCTATGCATAGGCTTACTTTAAAGAAATACCAGCTTGTTTGTAATGCTATTTTATTTCTATAACATGCTTGGAATTTTATTTTGGGATATGAATACATTTTGAGGTTATTTAAATTTTTATTTTTATTTTTTTGTTTTTGTTCCCTAGGATCGGATGTAAACAGCATGGATTCTGTGGATAGTGGTTATGCTTTGGGAAATAGTGAGCAGTTTCAGAATGTGAAGCAGAAGTCAGATGCAAAAAAAGCTGACCTTGTAATCTGGGAATTTGAAGTGCCAAAGGTAGTGTGTCTGCCTCACTGTTAAATGTTCTATCCAGCTTAGGGCAACATCAAACAGGACATGCTAATTTTGCCACATAATAGACTCACTTATACACAAAGTTGCTGCTGGTCTATTTAGTTATTTAGATTTCGAGTCACTCATTCCCAGCGCAGTGATTTTTGATTATTACTATGCTAAGATTATTAGTTCCACCCATCACACAAGTGTAACACATTGTGAAGCTTGTAGCTCATGTGATGGGTGAAAAGCAGTTTCCAGTTATGTCTCGCTGATTGTAGCTGATTTGGTTGAAAGTTTGTCAGTTTTCAAATTCACTTTTTATTGTGGCTCTGTATAACAAAAACAAAGTCTCAGGGACTGGCTGCCTTTTCTGCATTGTAATGTTATACATTTGTTAGGAATTGCTCGTGCCAGTCTGTGCTCGTTAATACTGGTGGTAGCTTTATTTTTTTTTGCTTTAATAAAGTGCAGCCTTTCTCCACAAGCGTTTCATGGAACCCTAGGGTTCCCCACAGATGTTACTAGGGTTCCTTGAACAATGTATGACTTTAAGATGTTACGCTTTGACATCAGTGATCTTTTCAGCTATCTGTAGAGTTGAGTGGGGGCATTTTTCCCACTGACCTCTAATATAGAACAGTGTGAGTAGAAAGCCTGCCGTGATTGGCTCAGCGCTGAGCCAATCACGGCAGGCTTTCTATCCATTAATACAAGCCTGCCGTGATTGCGCCGCGACCCGTGATGGCGCCGCGACCCACTGCAGAAGGACTCGCGACCCACTTTTGGGTCGCGACCCATGAGTTGAGAACCACTGATCTAAGGGGACTCTTCTCCACTGACCACTGATGTAATGGAGCACCTTACTTGCCACCAATGAAAAGGGGCACTTTTCCTCTAAGCAGCCAACGAGAGGGAGAACTACATTTTTTTTCCAGTTTTTCTTTTCTGCCCAGTATTGCTTGTTTCATTTTTGTAACTGAAAATTATTTTGTTGTACCGTATTTGCCGGCGTATAAGACGACCCCCTACTTTTTGTGTTAAAATATAGTTTTTGGGCTATACTCGTATAAGACTAATATAGCCCAAAATATTGTTTAAATGCACCCACTAACATCCATGGCGGTATTCCCGATCTGGCTTGGGGTTAATTTTCAGTAGCATAAGCGGTAACCCCGAGCCACACTCGGGATTACAGTCTCTTACCTTGTCCACGATCCCTTGTCCTCCGTCTTCCGCTGAGCCAATCACGGCAGGCTTTGTATGTATTAATGAATACAGGCTGGTTGTCAAACACACTGGCTACACCACATTCCCTACTCTATTTATTCTTTCATCCGCCCGTTGCTGTTCACACTAATGTGAAGGTTAGTTCAGGGGTTCTTCAATGGTTTTAAAAGTTTGATAAAGGCTGATCTAGTGATATTATAGATGTGTACATTTATTTATGCTAATGTTTTTTTTTGTTTTTTGTTTTCATTTGTCAAAGTATTTGGTTGGCCGATTAATTGGGAAACAAGGCAGGTTTGTGAGCTTCTTGAAGCAGTCGTCCGGTGCCAAAATATATATCTCTACTGTGCCTTACACACAGGATATCCAGATATGTCATTTAGAAGGTAAGTGTTGGTTCCACATACTAAACGATGTTCTTGCAAAATCCATCATGTGCATTTGTTGTATTAAAAGTGATTCTTTTTAGTTTTCCGCAGGCACTGGTGGGTTGTATCGCCTCCATAGGACTATTATTTATAAGATTCATTGTGAACACTTTTTTGATTGCATGTATTATTTAAGCACATATTTATTATAGAGATTTGTTTTATGTATTGTTCTAGATGAAGCGCAGCACAGTTTTCTAATGCTGCACTCTGCTTTTCAGAGTTTGGATTTGTCTTGTCTTTTTGTAATATGAAAATCACACTGCTAATGAATTGCAAAATTTCTACAGGTTCTCAGCAGCAGATAGACAGAGCTCTAAGTCTAATCCGAAAGAAATTCAAGGACTTGAATCTGACAAACATATTTGCACCCCCTCCTCCTCTGATCCCTCTTCCTGTTGCATCATGGGTATGTTTCTGAATGGTTTAGAGGTTTAGCACATGGATTAATTTACATGAACTTGTTTTGCATTTGGGGCGCAGCATACTAATCAGTATATGCTTTTTTTTTTTCTTTTTTTTTTTTTTCTTCCTTTTTCAGCTCACACTCCCAAATAATGTGTCAGTGGAAGTAGTTGTGGTTAATGTAGTGAATGCAGGACACATGTTTGTCCAGCAGCGTACACACCCTACTTTTCATGCACTTTGTGGCTTGGATCAGCACATGAGTCTCTGTTACTCACAGCCTGGTATTCCAACATTACCCACACCAGCAGAAGGTAAGTTGGTGCACTTCCGTTTCTTTTACACTTTCTTTTTTCCCCCTTCCTGTGATTTGCATTTTCTTTTTCAGAAGCCTCCCACATTCCATGTGGTTTTTCTCTTTTGTATTACATCTTGGCTATCCTGGAATCTGAGCACTACTCTCTTCTGGAACTTTACTTTTTACGCAGATCATTTCTAACACTGGTTTAGCATTAGTGTTGACCTCCTGTGACTTCCTTTTTAACCCTTTTGCTGCCAAGGCACTTTTTTTTTTTTTTTTTTGCACAAATGCAAATTTT